GGGGGGGGCTTTTTTCTATTAATATCAGGAATTTGAATGCTTTTGGACATTAATCTAATGCTCAGAGTGCTGAAACTCATCCTCTCCTCCACTCACACCCACATGTATGGATGGGGGTCTTTAACTGTGGCATGGAAAAGTTTCACTTTTAAAAATTATGGCAGAGTACTGATGATAGAATCATGACTTGTCAAACTAGTATCTTTGGCTCCTGTGTCAATACATAGAACCTACTAATTAGTTTTCTGGGAAACGAATATGCCAATGTTTATGACTTACTTTTTGTGCAATCATCCTTTGTTATATTCACCTATTGTGGGCTGGGAGCTGTTATTGATATGCCAATGTTTTTTTGTGATGTCTATATTGGATTATGGTCACTTATGGTCGCTTTAGCTGTGATATCTATCATAAGGCCCCATGTTTCTTATGTTGTGTGTACCATGTGGATTGTGACTTATGGCCTCTTGTACTTATTCAGGTGTGTAAGCTGTTCCGGCATATGGCGAGCACGGAGCCGTTGGTCATTACGGCTGAGCATAATGAGTCATTTTTACACAGCCTGGGACCACTGGTAAGATTCTGGTTGGCTAAATTGCAGTGCTTCCACTCTTCCGTATTTTTACGGAATCTGTACTGTCTGCTAGTTCCGTACTTGTTTCTCCATCATTATCAACTCCTTACGTAAAAATCTGCGACAGCGTAGACTACGAAATTCTGTAGCAAAAGATCTGTACTCGCCTTTGTATCGTCTTGTATAAGCTACGGATATTTACGGTAATTCTCTCGGCAATAAGTTAATGTTATAGAAACCTGCCAGATTGCGCATTTCCTGCCATCAACCATTATTCCGCTATGCCCCATGCATTCATTGCGGGTTGATCGGCAGTACTTTTTTTAACCTGCAGATTGATCAAAATCTGGTGAACTTTGTGTGCCACTTTCCTCCTTTCTATTATTCCCTTATTCTGTCTATCTTCAGATTGTTGCCGTGGCTGGAAAATTTGCGTGTTGATCAAGTATATTGACTTGTGATCTTAGACAGAAAATTACTGTCAGAAAGAAACTTTTTTTGCAAATTTATTGTCTAGAACTAGAGAAATTATCAGTGGGAAGATTCTACGGCACGGGAACGTGATAAGGGCTGCGATGAAAGAATTTGTGCTAAAACTACTAAAATCAGGAATAATTCGAAATGGTGTTCCGAGGTTGTGACATGCGACATTCAGAAGTGAAAATTGAGGAAAATTAGGGTATACGCTGGGTAACTGTATTGTGAAGGTACATATCTGTTCAGTATTCCCAGGTTTGCCTTCTATCAATGGCGCGATGACAAATTGAATTAAATTATAGTAGCAATGGAAGGGGAACCTGCTTTTAAACATTGCCAGCAATGGAAAGATATGTTGGTGAAGAAATCAAACAAGACTAAATCTTGGTGAAAAAATAGGTAGTATGGGTTGTTGGCAATCTCTTCAAACCGGCTCCCAAATGCCATTTTCTACCCTCTAAAAGTACAAAATTTCAATTTCTTCAGGGGCTTCGCCCTCTGAACCCCCACTGGGACTCTGTCCCTGAACCTTGCTGGGGGCATCAGACCCCCGACACAATTTTCATTACTTTTTAGCTTCAGCTGGTGGAAGCACTGAAATTGAAATAGTTTTTGCCAGTAAAGGTTGGAAAGGTTTCTGTCTAAGATGGCATGTAAGAAGGATTGGATGGGGACAGCAGGCAGGAGTGGGTAATGTAGTTTTATTTTCTGGTTAAGTTGATAGAAACATTCAATCTACTATGTTTAATCTACTATGGATTATAAAACTTGATTTGTATTGAACAGTTGTTTTGTTCTTCATGTGCAGTCAAATTTTGTTTCTCTTGCCAACCTTGGGATAAGCATAAGGTTGACGGTAAAGCGGGGCTGGCAGTACAACAGCGTTTTAACGCTGATCTCCGTTAATTACCAACTACTGCCAAAGTCGATAGAAATAGAGAGTGTTTTTCTGTTGTGATTTGTACAATGTGGGCAGTATAAAGGGCTTTGACTGTACATATAATTTAGTTGTTTAAAACATATCATGCTTTAGCCTGTTTTTGTTATAAGATTCATCCTGTTCTTTTTCATTAGACACTATTTTTATACAATCAATTGCATGTCTTTGAATACCGTATTCTGTAATTGTATGTCGAGATCAGATGAAAACTTTTGTTCCCAATTAAACTTTCTCTCATTTATTTAGCTTTTGTTTACAAATCCACATTCCTTCTTTAGGATGTACTCTGTGCATTCCCCCCGTGCTCCTTCCTTTTGACACTCTTTTAAGTGCTGTCATTGTGGTTCCTTTCAGATACTCTTTGCAAGAAAGTTTTGACGTTTGTGTAGTTATTCTCTTATAACTGTGGACACATTCCTGGTCCTTGGGGTACTGTTTGTTAACTGACGCTGTTCCTTTTTAGGATAGTAATTGCTAGCTCACACTTTGCAGATGTTTGAAGGGCGCCACTGGGTACATCATACTTCATTCCTCTCCTTCTACAGTTTCTGTATGTCTGTCTTGCTTTTTCACAGCATTTAACGAGTATGCTACATTTGAAAGTATAATCTTGATAACCTCCAATCAGATTTTTTTCTTCCTGCTCATCATTTGCTATTTCCTCTGTTTTAAGTCAGGATTTGGCAATACTTCTTTCAGATACTGTTTGCGGCCCACACTCTTGCTCAGCATCCTGATTCTAAAATCACTCGGGAAAACCTTGAGGTGTTCAGCGATGCCTGGGAGTCTCAGATTAATGACCTCAGCATTCTAGTCAAAGAGGTCAATGATGTGTGTCAAGGTCGTGGGGATAAGCTGGTCTATCTGTCTCTGCCAAGACCTGGGGTAAGTTGTAAACAGTCTTTTTAATTTCTGTGATCAGAAGGATGAGGTTTGCACTTGTGAAGTTTGTTGCTCTAATTTTACTTGTGCCCTGAAAGAGTAGGAGAATATTGAGGAAAGGTTGGTATCTGAAAAAATATTGTACTCTGCTTGAAAGCTTTGTATCTCACAGCTTATTTACTCCAATAATAGCATGAAACATGAGAAAAAGAAAAAAGATTTAAGCCTGTTTGTAAAATACTGCTGATCAGGACTCTACATTTGTAGATGATTGTGGTGAGAAAAAAAAAGTAAACAATGAATCAAATTATTACGGCTGTGTGAAAGGTCAGGTAAAAACTAAAGATGAGTGTGCTCATTATTCCCATTATTCTTTTCTAATGTTGCTGACCTTTACACGCACATTGTCAGTGTATGTAGTAAATCAACTTGTGTAATGAAGAAGTAGATGTTCTGAAAATGGTAATGAAGAAGTAATTGTCATGAAAATTTTCATTGAAAAGATGTTGAGTTATTATTTTTTATTTTCTTATAATCTAAAGTGGCCCGATTGCTAATTTTGTTGGCAAACGATATCTTAACTCTTTACCCTCTAACAAGCTGTTCTGATACATGTTCTGAATTCCTAGTACAAGGGAAATAATCCCCTAAATGCAAACACTTTTGTTTTATTTATGCTATAACTATACAACTTTCTCTATGAAATGATCTGGGAAAAAACATGTTAGGAAAAGAATGCTGGTTCTAACGAGCCTGTTTCCACTGCTGTGCAGCATGGGCAAATTATTTCTTTCTCCTTCTATTATTGTGACTATCGGTTTTTACCCGTCTGTTTTATAAAATTAAAGAATACTGGCATTTGTGGTGTAGCAGTTAGAGGCATCGCCGTCGCATGCAGGAGACCCGAGTTCGATTACAGAGTGGGGAGAAATATTCATCAAGTATTTTGATTGTTCTGTTGGGATTTTGTATCCTTCTCAGCCTGGGTTGACCCTGACAGGCAGGGTCAGAAGCCCTCTTCCTAAATGATTTAAATTGTAAAAACACCCACATTAAGTCATTAAATAAAAAAATAAAAAAGAATAATGTAATTACTCCATTGAATTAAAAATACAGTTATGGTTGATTGTGAAATGAAAGTGTCCTTGTTTGATTGTGATGTACCAGTTAGTGATAGTTTGACGTTTATTCTAATACCTCATTTAACAATCTGTGACATAAATAGTCTTTGATGTATAACAGTAAAGAAATGCTTTAAAAATGCCCCCGAACTGCTCGTATCACAAATGATGCATAGAGAATAATATTGTTCTTTTGGAATGTTCAGTTTCCAAGCCCTACAATGTGAAAAGGTTAAAGGTCTCTGCATGTTTTCTCTTATTTTTAAAATGTTTTTATTTATCTGTAAATTATTGGAACTGCCTTCTTCTTGTCTGTTTTCTTTTAATCTGTCTTCTTTCTGTTAGTTTATTTAATCTCAGTCTTCTACATATCTGTCTCATTTCTTTTCAGTCCTCGTCTTTTCTGTCTTCTTCTTGTCAGTCTTTATCTTGTCAGTCTTCCTTTCTTCCATCTTCTTGCCTTCTTCTTTTCTGTCTCCTCCTTTTGGATTTTTTACTTTTCAGTCTTGTTTCTGTCAGTCTTCTTTTTTTTCTTCAGATTTTTTGTTGTTATATTTGAAACTAGTGTTTATATAACAACTTTTTTGCATAATAAAGATTGAAGCAAAAAATCATATTTCCAATGAGGGAGTTAAGTCCAGTAGTCATCTTTCTAGGTTTCAATTTGCTATTTTTCTTATTCTGAAAGGTGGTCTCTTTCAGATTTAACTTGGATTTGTTGATGTTGAGACAATGTAAGTTTTAAGTATTCTATCAAATACAATGATTGACCAACGTTTTTCAATACTAGGTTCAGACTCCACCTGTAAGTAATTTTTTTTTTTGAAGTGTTGTCCACCAAGCCAATTGCTTTACAAGTCCTTAGATGTTTCTCTGTTCCGGCCCATCTGCTCTTTGTTTTTGTTTTTTTCTCAAAACGTCTGAAATTTATCAATGTTAGATGTAGCGTGTAGATAGATCACTCAATCTGTACCTCTTACCAACTGTATTTTCTTTGCTTAAGATGTGTTTTTTCCCGCTTTAAACATTTTTTCTTTTGGATAAAAATAACAACTTCATTTTAATGTCTAGATGTGCCCCCAAATCTGTTTAATCCTATTTCTTCTCAAGTTTTTCAAAATGTTGTATTGCTCTAATGCTTCCTTTTCACTATGTAGAGAACTGGTCGTTTGTGTGGATTGCTTTCACAATATTAATGTTTGAATTTGGATTATTCTTTTGTGCTCATGGTGAAAACTACGATGGTCATAATGTTAACCTTTGTGCAATCAAACCTGTCGAAGCCGACCACATATTGTGGGGGGGAGAAAAGTGGTCACTTTAAACCGGTGGTCCTTTTGGACTGTGTCTTTTGCAATGAAGGAATAAAAAGCAGGGGGTTGTGGAAAGTAGTTGTTTATACAAGTGATTGTCTTGGACTGGTTTGACTGTAAGTGATTGTTTGTCTGCTTGATGCTAATGAAAGCGCTCATTTACTTTTGACACAATGCAGCACTCAGTCACCCTGAAAGATCAGAGGAATCAATGATAGAGTCACTAATGTAGCAATGATTTTCATACTGAAGCTTCTTCTAAAGGCCCATATTGAAAGGAAAGCTTGTGAAGTAAAGTTGGGCTTTCTTGTCGGAACTATACAAGGCGAGCTATTGGCTTTTTTCAAGCTCTGTTTTGTAGTATGGTTGTCTATGTAGTGCATCCCTTTGATCAAGTTGTGCCAAAAGACAGAGCCCATCACCAATATCTTAAGATCCACATGGTGCCTGGATATTTAAAATGTTTAACTGATTACTCAGTCCTCTTTCCTAGAAGAGGCAAAGTAATCTGAAGATGTTGTGCTGAGGCTGATTTTTTTACATACCTCTCTGTATATCTTTTGCTTTTAACACCCTTATTTTTTTGCCCAGTCAGATCACTTGTTTGTTAATTTGATTTGACGTTTCTGAATTCTACACTGTAACACACTTGCAAACTTTTCAGTGCAAGCAGTCTTTAGTGCTTTTTATGATGGTGAACTCTTGAGTGAATGTTAAAGTATAGAACTGAACCTAAGAGTAATCTCATCATCTCTAGCTTCGAGCAAACTTGCACGTACAAAGAACTTGCCTATTTGCTTACATGAGCTAATCTTCAGCCTGTGCACTTTTTCAACTCGCAAGTGTCAGAATTTTTGTAGAGTTAGGGTAAGACTGTGTAAGGTTTTCTTTTCATGATTGCAAGTTTTACAAAATGGTCTGATATTTTTTATGCCATCTTTATGTCCATTATCAAATAAGTCACTTTTTCTATACCCACCTCTTTAATATTGTCCAATGATATCAGCTTTTCAGTTGTATGATAGCAACATGTCTTTGGAATTGCCTTTTTTCATTCTAAACATTTTCACTGTATTTTTTTTTTTAGAATTAAGTACGAAGAATTTACTATGTGAAAAGCTTTTGTTACAGAAAAAGAAATTGTGAGGCATCATGGAGAAATCAGGCGCTCGTCAAAATGATGAAATGGAAGAAACAGGCATTTTCTCTCATGTTTGACACCTTTGATCAAAATTTTGTTTTTTTTGGCGCAACGCTTTCTATGTTCATATAAAAACACATTTCCTTGTGAATTTTACCAAAAAACATTGATTAATGGCATAAAATATGTACATTTTCTGTTTTCAAAGACACTTAAGCTATAGAAGCTACCAAACTTTGGCAGCCATTTTTTCACTAATTTTACCTCTGAAACCATGCCACTCCCACCCCCTTCAATCGCAAATGTCTTGACTTCTATTCAAGTTAGATAAGTACTTTTTTTTCATAGAAAGCTAGAAAATGAATAAGCTTTCAGATGATACTAATAACTCCAAATGCCCAAAACTTGACGAGCGCCTGATCCCATCGCGGTGTGACACAATTTTAGAAAAATAATGATTTGAAGCAAAGTTATCGTTTGGAAGGGGCAAATCTGTATTATAAAGTCAGTGTGTGGGAGGTCTGCAGGTGTAGAGATTCCATCAAACAGACTGACTTAGTGTGAGCATGAAGGAAATACGTGTAGACAGAAGGCTGAGAAATTTAAAGGTCTTTGTGGTACCAGTAAAATAAAAGTCTATGATATATTTTGTAAAATGACAATTGGCAAGTATGAGCAGTGAGCATATCAGAGCCTTGTCCTCAGACATGTTCTTTCTACTTTTGAAAAATGCTAGCCTGTGCTGACCTCAACAGAACCAAAGCTGTCAAACTATGAAAAAGACAACTTGGTCTTTTTTCTTCTGAATTGGAGTCGATGATATGAGCAAACATATGGAGTTCTTGTGAAGGTTGACTGTCAGTTGAATTTTATGCATAATTGTTGACTGTGACCACACTTTCTCAACTTTCTGCAGGCACTTGACCGCTTACTAAACCATGAATTGCTGATGTCCTATGGTCATGTGCGTTCAGGGGTATAGATTCATGCATCTAATAAACTGAGTTTGTTATGGTAGATAAGTGTTCATATAAACATTGTCAGTGACAGCAAGTCATCACTGGGAATACAGGAAAACGTTTGATCCCTGTACATGGGTTATGCATGCAAAGACAAACATCAGAGTCGGAGATAATAGATAGGAAACTTGTAGCCATTTCTACTCCCTTGTTGCTAAAGAAACAAATTCCTTAGCTATCAGTTATTAATGTGCTCATCTGCAATTTTGATGTCTGAACCATGACAGCAAAAGAGAATCAAGTATTCCTAGTGTGAAAAGAGAGACACTCACCGAGACCTCAAAGGTCAAAGGCATCTACAGTTCGTCTTTTTGGTGGATAAAAGGCAATTCTATTTCATTACAGTGATTATCTTGGCTGCTTTGTTATTTGTTGGTAATACTTTGTTCGTCTTAGCTTAGAAGCTTTTCTCAGCTTTTCTGGGGGTTTGGGACAAGGTCTTTGCTGGTTGAAAAGTCTTAAACTTCTCTGTTGTTCCTGATTTGTGATGAGCAAAATTGTGTTCATCTATGCTTTGATACAAATATGTGATTATCCCTGATGGTCTGGTCCTCTATATACACATTTCATAATTGGTTGTTGGAACAGTTGAAAGATGGCAAAATTCCCTTCTATTTGACATCAATTTCAAATAAATATGATCATACTTTTCTAAATGAATCGCTGTTCAATATTAGAATGTCCCACTACTGTCAAGGGAAATACTGAGACATTCGCAATCACAGATTTGACTGTCGCCATCGCAACAGATACATTTTGTAGAATTGAAACCCCCCCCACATTTAACACCATTCTTCAAAGATTTTAAAAATTAATACTCAGACAGATAAGTCATTTAAGAGACTAAAACAACCAGAACTTGATGTTCGGCACAACAAGTGTTTTTGACAAGTTCTGCTTTTCAGCCTGATATACCTTTTGGACCGAACCATTGGAACAAGTCACATGTGTGTGTATAGCCCTGCTGCTCTTGTGGTGTGTTGATGATGCCAATGTGTTAAAGTCTAAAGGTTTAACTTGCATATCATGATGTTGTCTGAAATCAACCTTGCAAGTCTTCACTGCACAACTATAGACTGACAAGTCTTATTGTACACACAGCCCATCAGCTGAACTATATTTAAAGGTTACTTCAAAACCAAACATGCTTTTTTTGGTCTTTTCCTAGTCTCTGTTGTTTTTGCTGTTTGCTAATAGGGCTTCAGCCTCTCAAAAACCTGAATTATGGGTTGTCTCTTTTTGTGAGCTTTTGTCATGAGGATATGTCACCTCTGTCTCTGTTCCATATACCATTACATACCTATTATTCTTGAGTATGAAGGTATCAAGACCGCAAACATTTGCACTTTTCTGTTTTAGTGGTTGAAAAGCAAAAGAGCCTGATGAAATATTTTTTTACAGATTGGTACAAAATAACACAATGTTAAGAAGGTACTTCTGGAGTTCTAGTGGGTCCTGATTCTTTTCCATTGTTGTAGTGCTTTAGTCTGTTGTCTTGCCATTTCCTGGCCCGTGATCAATGTTGCGTGTGTCTGAAGGTTGCCACTGGTAGGTTTTACATTTATATTATTCCTGTTTCATTTGTCTGCCTATGTGAATTTTCCCAACTCTAAATAGCAGTTTTCTTTACTGTGAAGTGATCAGTGTCTTCTATGTCTACTGTGCTGATAACTCAAATGGCTGAGAATATAGTCATCAAGGACAGAGAAATGTCTGTCAATTTCACAAGTGTAGAAGTTATGGAGGATTCTCTCTTCTACCCTCTTCTGTAACAGCAGACTTTCTCCCCAAATTGTTTTCCTATCAGAACCGACTAATTATGCAGCTTATTAAGTGTTGTTTTTTTCAATTGCAGTTCAAAATTCCAGTGCTGGAGGCAAGACTTCTTTCCTAATAATTAATTAAGATCTTTGTGCTTGAAGTCTGAAATGTTGAACTTTCTTGTCTTTACAGAAGCATGGGACGACTTCCAGATCTTTGAGACCTGCCAAACTTGATGCTGAGGTAAGATTAAGGCTTCTAGCCGTCATGTATTGTGTTTGTGAGTCACAGGTGGAATAGGTGGGCAATGTTAATCATGAGAGCATTAATGATTCTCAGATCTGCATTTGGTCACTCCAACTTGCATCGACCAGTGAGTGGGAAAAGATTTGATACATGATAAAAAAGATAAGGCACATTTGTATATCGCTGTCTCCCCATTATCTTTACCCTAGATGCTTTTCTTACCATATCTAAACATGCTTTCTCCTAAGAGTCCTTGGTTAGACAGCAGGCACACACACTAATAGACACATACGTTTACCTTGTTCACATGTATAGATGTGATATGCCCACAACAATGTTCACAAATATTCACACTTGTTTGAAACTTCCCAGTTACTTCTAATTGTTCTTTTTTATAATAAAATTTATATTTGCGTGTGACTCTGAGAAAATCTGTCGCCAAGGTTCACATATTTAAAACTGATTTATGGCATATTTTATAAAATAAAACATTTGAGAGCACTTTGCACTTTATTTTGGAGGATTTGGAACATTTTGTAAAATGTTATAATTTTTTATCTGCAAAGAGCACAGGAGCGTGAAGGATACATTTTGAAAAAAATGACTGAATTTTTCCATGATGAGGCTTCATAAAGAGTTTTAAAAAAGATTCTCAATTCTTCCATCCTTTTCTGCTGCCACAGTATTTATGGGTGCTTTTTTTCCACAGAGAGGCAGTGCTGTTTACTTTCCTTTGGTGTTTTGTGTCGGGGATTTGCATGAACGTTGGGAGTCTTATCGACAGGAGTAAAAAGTTCCAAATTTTGATCAAACTTGTTTGACCTTAAAAAATTTAGAAATGGTTTATCTTTCCATGTTTGTATGTTTAAAAAAAATAAAAAGTGAAGTTCTACGTCTATATTTTATGGTATCTCTAAAGAGTCATCTGTACCTTCCCATAGGTTCTCTCAGGGCCACATATTTTTCATCCGCAAGGGGTAAAGCTAAAATTATGGCATGTGTTGTTTATTCATGGCTGTCCCATTCCTGTTTCTTCCAGGAACAAGCCAAGATTGCCAAGCTTGGTCTGGAGATGAAACTGATCACCTCGGAGACTGAGGCTGAAGCAGACAAGTGGGAGGAACCAGATAATGCAGTGGTCAAACGGGCCAAGAACATGTCGAGCATGGCCTTCAGCATGTACCTGTTCACCCGAGGGGAGGGCCCGCTGCGCACCACACATGACCTATTTGTCCAGGCACAGTTCTTTGCCCAGGAAGGGAACAAACTCTATGCCACTATACAACATTTTGCACAGCGAGTAAGTGAGGCGCTCGATGAGTGGTACTCAATAACTTGTTTGACTTTTGTACATACTTGGCTTTTTCATCAACTGTTTACTCTAGTAAATGAATTGCCTGCCCCCTCGTCCACTAATCTATTTTAGAATGTCCTTTCTCTTAACTCATCCCATATGCTGCAAAATTAAAAGAAAGGAGACCTTTTTTTATATTAAAAGAAACAAATTTATAGAAAAAATTGGGAGTTCTTTTGTTGGAAAGTTAAAATGCATTTCCAGTAGGTCCAGGTCTAATTGACGTGGAGGGTGAAGGCCCATGTCAGAAGTATATATTGTCATTATCAGCACTGCAGTTATCTGTTCAAGTTTTGTGTTGAGTCGCTTTGCTTGCAACAACTTTGATGATTATTTGTATGAAACAACTCAAGACCGCTCTCCGCATCTCATTTGCCCTGCCACATATGCAGAAAATAGGTGCTGTTGACCTGTGTTTAGGTGCTTTCAGATCGAGAGCTGTTTTCATGAAGATAAAGATGAAGATCTGCTGATCAAATTTTCTGTTTCATTTAAATAACAAGAAACTTGAAAGAAATTATGTTGTTCATAGTCTAAAAACATATCTGTAACAATTGTCAACAACAAAAAAATCCAGAAAATCCAGTTGAATTTTGGACATTATGTGCACCACTGTGAACTGATATATGGCTGAGTCATCCGTCTGGGACTCTGAGATTGTGAAAACAGATGACTGAATCATGGTTGTGGACAGATTGAGTTACTAATTGTGTTGTGTGTGAAGAAGCAGGCTGAAACTGGATAATGCTGTTCTTCAGATTGCTTATCTCAGGCCTCTGTTTATTTACAGGTGCCTACCTGCCCTCAGAAGGAGGAGCTGTTTATGTACCTTGACAGAATCCCAGTTTGTTGTCACCAGCTTCTCACTACCCTCAAGTCTGCTACATTTGGCAAGACCGCCACCTTCAACAAGGTACAACTAACACTTACATGCGAGAATTAAAAAAAAAAAATTCTTTATAGTTGTCCTTTGTTTTAAGAATGCCGCTGTATGGATCATATTGTCGACATGACATGAAAAATATCGTCACTGAGCTGTTTAACTTACCCACAAATGTTGAAACATGTTTTTTTATTGAGGTTTCTTAATCTGCTGTATCAGTGGCATAGAACATAATATTATAAGCCTTCCTTCAGTCAATTTCATGCTAATGAAAAAGCAGTAGACATGGTCTGTCGACAAGCATATCTCACGGTGATTTGTTTTATGACTGCACCATATGGCCACAGCACTTCTACCGGCCCATGTGAAGGTCCATGCCTTTAGACTTTTATGATGTTCCCCTTGTGTGTGAGCTGAATACATGTACAGATAGGCTGGTAAACACCAGCTTGCTGACCAAATGAGAAGTAATAATTACAGTGGAGCCTGCTTATACTGAAATCTGTAAGACTGCCGGATTTTCTTCAGTTTAGAGGGGTTTTTGGTTAGAGAAGTTGCTCGAATAGAAGAAGAAGAATTGGGCATTGTATTATTTTTAGGTTTACAGCTGCTTTTGCATTAACCGTGTTCAAAGCGGATTCCACTGTAATTGCGTTTCTAAGTTTGCTGAAGGACAACCTGATGCTGAGAGGAGGAGAATTTTAAGATGGGTCATCACATGACTCATGTGTGGCTTAAGGGGGCTGACGGGTTGGGTCTAGGGCATCGAGGACCGATTTTCACTCACTCTGAACTTTTTTTACGTTTGGTATTTTCCGTTCCCTCATTCAGTCTAGATTATATTGACACTTGTCGCTGAGTGATTAACATTAACAGAATTCAATTTTACTGGGTTCTACGTTGTATACAAACATGTTTGAAGTTTAACCTTGTTTTTCTCAAAACTCAACACTTTTTCACCTCTTTTTGTTTGCATATGCCTTTTTTTTTCTCCACCATTTTTTAAATTTTCCTACTCAGAGACTCAAAATTTGGCATGTAGTTAGAGAAATAGTTTGTACGTGTAACGGGCTGGTTAGTTTTTTACATTTTGCTTTAGAATTTATTTTTTTAAAAATATTTTCATGCCAAAAATATGTTTTTAAAGATCAAATTCCATATTCCCAACTTTGAGAACAATTTTGGATACTTTCTAAGTATAGCATCAAAAGTCAAAATAGCCAGCTTCAAGATTCATTTGTGAAATTTTGCAAGTTACAGAATTTAAAAAAGTTAAAAACTGTAGAAATGGTGAAGAAAAAAAATACCTACTATTTTCTATCCTGTTTTCAAGATGGCCACCCTTTCCATGGCAACAGCTTACATAATCGAGTGTTTCAACAGTTGAACATGAATCTTTTGTCTCATACTTACTGCCTGTAACAAACATTGTTTCAGTTTGTCTTTTGTTAAAAGTGTTGTTGCTTTTTGTTGCTGAAGTTCCTTATTGTTACATGGTTTAACAATACCTTGCAGATATCATTGTTTCAAGTTGCGTACGCTCGAGGAAGTTGTTGAAGTTCCTGTATTTTGTGTTTCTCATTTCTTTTCTTCCAGGTTGACAGTGCCATACAAGAGACCAAGAACCTGATGAACATTGTTGCTAAAGTCGTCACCACTTGCTTTGTTTGTGCTACTAAGGTAGGTTTTGTTTGTTATGCTGTAGAGATTTCCTCATGCAAAAATGAAAAACACGGTGAGTTTTTGTCAATGATTACAAACATTGTCTCGGAGAATGTTTTCTGCTGTTAAGATACTGTTCACTTTTGAAGGTTGGATGGAGGTAAACCGAAAACTTAAAAATTACAGACTTCTTTGAGTGGGACGTTGGGTCTCCTATTGAAATTATGAGTCTGTTAATTCTGGTCTAGTGTATGCAAGTATTTTCTTCTCCCTTGTTCAGTTATGTTTGTTTGTAGGACCTCCACTTGAATGATGAATCACTTTGGATGGGTGATGCTCAGGTAGCATTTTAGAATAACCCCACCATATCGTCTAATATCAGGAAATTAACATAGATAAGTGGAAATAATTTGATGTCTGAAAACCTATGAAAAATAAGTTGTGAACAAAAATTTAAACATGAATGACAAGTGCTATGTTTGTAAATGCAGTCGAACCTGTGTAAGACGGCCACCTATTGTCAAGGAGAAAAGTGGCCGTCTTAGGCAGGACTGATCAAAATGAAGAAAACAAAACATTCCCTTATGAGGTCCCAACCGAAAGTAGCCGCATAGTTGTTGTTTTTGTTGCTGTTAGTTTGTATTTTGTTTGTTATTTTTATTTTGTTGCTGATTTTGCCCAGGGGTGACAATAATGCGAAATGTATCGGACGAGGAAGAATGAGTGCCATGTTAAAACAAACCCATGGGTCGCCACCACTCGGAGAACGAGCGACGCTTCTGTCGCAAGTTCATGTTGACGTCCATTGTTACTTTATTACAGACTGGGTAAACAGTGACCATTCATCTCACATACAATTTTTGCATGAGTTCTGGGCGGGGCTTATGGGTTGTGAGGGATCACACGCTTGCCTCACCAGCATCTGAAAATTTGTTACCTATTGGTCAACAGTGGGAGGGGTCAACACAACGTGATCGGTAGGAGGGAGCACCTAACAACAATGACATGTGATTGCATTATGACGGCTCAAACAGAACGCCAGGGGCAAATACATAATTTATGATGACAATACGTAATGGAGTCACTAAGGTGGTCGTCTAAGGCGAGTGTTATTGTTTGGTGTGATAAGGGTTGTGTGTTAAAATATGGTGGCCGCGGCCGCGTTGGATAGGTGCCCGTTTTACACTGAAATTATATAGCAAAAACGCAAGGGGGGAAATGGAAAGTGGCCGTTTGTACAGGTAGCCGTCTTACAGAGGTTGCTGTCATGGCAGGTTCGACTGTATTGATGTTTGGTCAATTGTTGTCTTACTGTGTGTGCATGATATGGAACAAGTCCTGAACAAGGATATTTTCTTCTTCAGTTCAACATTGACTACCGATCCTCCCCCACTCCGAGCACCAGCAGTCAGGTCACGCGCTGGACATCTGCCTCGACATCCTCCAACCCTACTCGTTACGAACTGCGCTCGAGTGGCAGCGACACAGAGTCTGGGCCTGGCAGTAGCGGCCCCTCGGAGGGCCTGTACCGCAGCACCAGCCTGAACAAGCCACTGTCCACCCTGGATAAAACGGGATAGGCAGATCGCTTCTCCAGACACAGCTTGCAGGTTCAATCTCAGACAGCACAGATCATACAGTGACTATAAATGTTATGGAAATGGATACAAGACCAAATTTTTAATAGTGTACATACCATTGCTTTTGCGAGAAAATGACTAATTCTGTTTGACAGGGTGACCAAAGATGTTGGAGTTACTCATTTTCTTGCCACAGCAACCATATGAAGTGGAAACAATTCTTGGATTCCACAGATTTCATTTTGAGCATAATTTGTGTGAGTTGATGCTCCAGGATTTTAGATCTAGCTGAAAAAATACTCAAAACTCGCAGTGGAATTTAATTTTTATAATGGGAAGAGATGTTCATTTTCTACCTGTCCCAAGATTTGGTGAAAAGAGAGCTGAACAAGAATCTCATAGTCCCTTGTGCTGGTGTAATATTTTGACTTGTGTGTCACATTTGTTCCATTTGTGTTTACTACATTGTGGCATATCATTATTTCTTCAAGTGTTGCTAAAACGGGACGATTTTTCTTGTCCTTTAAAAAAAGAATAATAGCTTTTGTCTAGCCATTTGTGATAATGATTGAGGTGGAGGCAAATTATGTTCAACATATCTGATCTTGAGTTATTGCAGTGGATTTGTTTATTGTTCTTGGTGGTCATAGTGTGTAGATTTATGAGTGTTTTTTTGCTTTAAGATGGTGCTAACCTTTTAACAAGTTCTTGCATAGATGAAAGGTTTTGAGCTCCCGCCAAAGAAGGGAAGTCAGACAAATAGATGAAAAAGAACTTATTTCGTGGTTGAGTAAAAACTCAAGCCCTGATGGCTGTCTTTTGCCTTGCCAGCAGGATTGATAATGATAGTCCATTGATCGTGAGCTCTTAACCTACTTTTGATAAGACTCGACTCTGTGGTTTTTGCAGGCCATTACCAAGCAATGGGCTAAAAACCCTAATTTTGACGTTTGGAAATTGTGTATGGTTATTTCTGATGACATCATGAAAATCAACTTGGCTGTGGTACTTTTTAAACTGATTTTTTAAATGAATTTGTAGAAATTTGCCATGTTCAAGTGATTCTGGTAATCCAGCCACTGTTCTAGTCAGCTAACATGGTTTTATTTTGCCATTTTACTTCACCTCATACACCGACTCCTCAATGGCATTTTAATTTGTTTTTTCAGTGGGATTTTTTGTTTTGATTTTGCCATTTCACATTGTTTTATTTTGCCTAGTTTTTTTTGTGTCCTCTATGTGCCCCGTGGTGTGGAGAAACTTGACTCTTGCACAAGTCAAGTTTATAATTATTTTCGCCATAAGATAAGTATCTGTGTAATTCATGTCAATATGTGTCATGTCTCTTTCTGAGCATCTGACACTCTTCAGTTGTCAAGTATTGTTTTTATTTTTATCTTGATCTTTTCCCACTCTTCAGTTCCATATTTTTCTTTTGTTATTTGTTTAATTCCCAGTTTCCAGTCAACGTCAACCACTGTGACTGTACTAGTGTCTGATTTCCTGTCATAAAATAGCATTTGCTGTTGCATACCATTATGTACACATGTGAAATGTTTCCTAAGATCTCTTTCTCTAAGAAGCTGTTCATGTGGTGGTTAGACAGCGCCACTCGCGTGCCCTACCTCTGTCGTTAGCCTTTTTTAAGCACTTGTATGACTGAAAGTATATTAATGGGAAGTGCCATTTTCTCAGAACTCGATTGTACTCCTCCTGAAGCTTGTTATAAAGAGTAGTTCATATAAGTTATATATTTAATTCTTTTCAGTATTTTGTCATCTGTCATGGGCAGACAATGGGAGAAGCTTCAGTCTTTCTACAGTAGTGTAGATATATGCTTAGACTTACACAGGATGGTTCTTTTTCTTTACTGCTTTTCTAGTAACAAAATGTCACAATTGTTTTGATATAGTATGTGGCACCTGTAAAATTAAAAGTGATACAGTTTAAAGTTTTCGGGGTGAGTTCTCTTGTACTGTTGTCTTTGGCCTGGTGTGATAATTCTGAAAAGGAAATTGGTCCTCTGTAAATAAGAAATAAGATCAAGATTAAGAATCAGCAATGACTGTCGTCTTATCAGGGAACTGTGCAACTTGATTTTGAAGTGTTTTGTGTGGCTGATTACTGTTCATATATTTTTATATGAATTGTAAACATTTTTTGTGGGTTTAAAAAAAAAATCTCTCTTGATTTAAAAAAAATAGTAATAAATGTCATTTATCAAAAGTTAAAAGAACTTTAAAAGGCCATGTGATTTTTTTCTGCTTTGGATATTCCATTTCCATAAATATATGGTGTCATAAAGCTATTATTTTTTTGTTTGTCCTTATTTTTGGGGTTTTCATGTGCTGTCCATTAACATACCGGACTGTATCTGTCTGGTTGTTTGTATTTCTTTGTCTCACTCTTGTATTGCAGTGAGTTTTGTGGGGTAAATAGATGATCTTTTTCTGAGGACTAGCTCAGATGGTGTGCTTGTTTGGTTCCTCTTTTGCTTGATCATTCCAGCCCCAGATTCTCATTGCACCGAGAAAGCCATCAATGTTCCTGTAATGTGATATTTGCTTACAAAATGTTTTGTCAAAGTTCAGAGTGGGCCTGACTCGTCTCCTGCCTCTTGTTTGTATTGTCGATGTGATTAGTTCTTTTTTCATTTGTGCCAGATATCTGTCAGAGGCTTAAAGTTGATCATGATAGTTGTACAGGAACACAAGTCTCCTGTCTAAAATTATGAAAATTGCTTAGAAAAACGTGCGTCACACGCTTGGGTTTCTCATTTTCTTCCGTGTTGATAAAATTTTGAAAAGCAAGATTTACTAAATGCACTTTGCAAAATGAACTACACCCTACAAGAGGTTGTTGTGGTGGGAAGTGCAGCACATTAGAAAGGAACTAGGACATGCTTATGATACATGTGGAAGGATCAAGTCCACATATTAGTAGGAGAAGATAATAGAAATGAATTTTTCTGTGTATTCTCAGACAAACTGGGAGTTTAGGCTTTTGCAATTTAAGCCTGGTCATCTATTACCATTTACACTCGGTGAAGTTGAAGTTGTCTTTACATCTCTTCGCAATGCTCTCTTTTTCTGTTTGTGTCAATCTCTGCTAGTGGATTTATACTTCAGTGATGTATGTTGGTGAATTATAAGGCACTTTCTCTTTTGTTGTTATGGAAGATTTTAAATTAAGGTTTGGAATCTGATGTTTTACACTGTCTCAAAGAGTAAGAGTACTGCTTTTTTTGGATCGTGGTGTAAAACAGTAGGAAATACGTTACCCAGCTTGAAAAGATCTTGAAAAGTTACAAATGGGAGTGCTAAAGGTTGGAAGTTCTGAGGAAACATGACAGAAGAGGTTAAGGTATTTGATAATGATTGAACCAGTGGGGTTGCTTCTCTGAATTTTTTAAAATTGTATGTATATAT